CTTACCCGCTCGAGCGGACATCAAGGTCTGCAGAAAGAAATACTGGGAGCACGTATTTCCCGCTCGAGCGGCCATTACCCCGCTCGAGCGGACTTCAAAATTCTGGAAAACCCAGAATGTGTTCTTGAGCTCCAATTCGAAATCTCAGCCTCAATACTTGCATGCAATGGCTCAAATATCAAATATAATCATACTAACATGGTACCAATGCAAGATTATAACATTATGGAGCTCAATTTCTTGATTTATCTACATGCATGTCTCACAACATGTCAATCTCAACATCAACATAACAAACTCATGCATTCAAGCTCATGTCTTCTCAAATTGTACATGCATGTGATGAATTAGCCACATCCTCAACTTAGATGGCACAAATGATGATTATAACATGAGCTTCAATTAAAATTGTACATGGATTATACAAAACATGCAAATTCAAGGTACTTTCTTACATGCATGCACATAATGGCCTTCAATTCAACCAAACCACTTCAATTTCCTCATAATCAAACTAAATCATGTTCTTGACCATTATTTCAACTTGAATTCACAAAATTACAACTTAATATCCATGAATTCACTTACCTAGAGGCTTGATTCTCCCAATCTATGGTCAAAACTTGAATAATCTTCAAGGCTCCCAAGCTTTGAGCTAAGTTTGCTCAATTCTCTTCTCTCCTCCTCTCTACAACCGGCTCTCTCTTCCTCTCAATAGTCTAACTCCGATTTTGAGTTCATAAGGGCTAGAGGGGAGTGTAATGCTATCATACAACAAGGCCCACTAACATAATATTTCAATATAAAATATTTGGTCACTAATTCATCAATTAAATCGACTTAATCTGGCCCGAATCAATTTTTCAATTAAATTTTACCATAGGCTCTAAAAATTACGCTAATCATAAAGGCGTAATCAATTTCGGGTTTTGTAGCTGATAAGGCCCTCAATTTAATTTCCAAAGCGGATTATTCAAACAGATATTCCTACGGTGAACAGATAGAATTGCAAAATCACATATATTCACATAATGGCACATAAAATCATGCTAAACACATAATCATACTCAAATTAAGGACCAATTAGCATACTTCGGAACAGGGGTATCACACTTTGACATCGTTAAAACATATCGGCTCCGACTCAATGCATCGAAGTGTACATTTGGAGTTGGATCTGGTAAGTTCTTAGGATATTTGGTAACCAGAAAGGGCATTGAGGCAAGCCTAGATCAGATCAAGGCTATCCTAGAACTGAAGAGCCCAACATCAGCAAAACAAGTGTAGATGTGAACCGGAAGGGCTGCAGCCCTGAACAGATTCATAAGTAGAAGTTCTGATAAATGTAAGCCTTTTTTCAGCTTAGTAAAGAAAGCCACAGACTTCTTATGGACCGAGGAATGCGAAGCCGCCTTAACCGACTTAAGGAGGTATTTGACCACAGCTCCAGTTCTCTCAAATCCAGTACCTGGAGAGGAGCTGTTCTTATACTTGGCAGTTTCAGAACATGCAGTAAGTGCAGTGGTAATCCGAGAAGAAAAGAGAGAACAAAGGACTGTTTGCTATGTAAGTAAAACCCTTGCAGATGTAGAGACTAGATATCTACCCTTAGAGAAGTTAACACTAGCTTTAGTAATGGCTTTCAAGAAACTAAATCATTATTTTCAAGCCCACAAAATTGCAGTGTTAACTGAACATCCCTTGAAATTCCTGTTATAGCAAGGAGATCTGACAGGCAGAATAGCCAGATGGGCAGTGGCCTTGGGCCAATATGACTTGGAATTTAGACCCAGAACAACCATCAAAGGCCAAGTTTTGGCTGACTTCGTGGCCGAGTTCACACTAGGTTCCATCACACATCGGGCTCCGTTGAGCCAAGGCGTGCGATGTCCAGGTGAGCAAGAAAAAACCCAGCAGGGAACAACAGAGCAAAGGAACAAAGAGAAACTCAGGCCCTACAGTATTTACATCAGCGACTCCTTCCGGTTGTTTGTGGATGGGAGTTCAAACCGACAAGGAGCGGGGGCAGGAGTATTACTAGTATCGCCAGATGAGCAGATACTGGAACAATCCATTCGTTTGGGGTTTAAGGCCTCAAACAATAAAACAGAGTATGAAGCACTGATCGCAGGACTAAAGCTGGTAGCAGCCATGGAAGCCGATCAGGTAATAGTCTTTTGTGACTCCCAGCTGATAGCCAATCAGGCAACAAGGGAATTTGCAACCCGAGATGAACGGATGTCGGCCTATGCAAAGGAAGTAGGTAGACTGGTAGCCTTATTTCAAAATTGCCGACTACAGCAGGTAAGTTGAGATGACAACAGCCATGTCGATGCTCTGGCCAACCTGGCTAGTGCAATGAAGCTTGGTGAGACAAGAACAATAATGGTTGACTACTTGTCAGGACCAAGCATAGAACCACTGAGCACAAAGCGTGAAGCAATGTGTGTGGAGATAGAACCAAGTTGGATGGATACAATAGTAGCATTCCTTAAAGAAGGAAAATTGGAAGACGACCGTAAAGAAGCACACAAGATTAGACTGAAGTCGGCAAGATTCAGTTTGATAGCAGAAGGCCATCTCTATAGAAGATCCTTTACTGGATCCCTTCTGAGGTGTGTGCATCCTGCACAAGTTGAAGACTTTCTATACGAAATACATGAAGGAGTATGGGGAAGCCACGCTGGGGGCAGGTCACTTGCTCATAGGGCCATTACATAGGGGTATTGGTGGCCCTACATGCAGAAAGATGCTGAAACCTATGTCAAGAAGTGTGAGAAGTGCCAAAGGTTTGCACCTTTGATACACCAACCAGTAGCAGACTTGAACCCAGTGTCCAACCCTTGGCCATTTGCCCAATGGAGCATGGATCTTGTTGGAAAACTGCCCTAAGCAACTGGACAAAGGAAGTAACTGCTGGTAGCAACGGATTACTTCACCAAGTGGGTAGAGGCTGAACCCCTTGCCAAGATTCGGGACGTTGATGTGAAAAACTTCATATGGAAGAACATCATCACCAGTTTGGAATCCCAAGAGCAATAATAGCTGACAATGGTACACAGTTTGACAGTAAGCTAATCAAGAGCTTATGTGCAAAGTTCAAAATCAAGAATTATTTTTCCATCCCAAGTTTTCCTCAAAGCAATGGACAAGCAGAAGCATCCAACAAAGTCATCTTGGATGGGATTAAGAAGAGGCTGCAAACAGCAAAGGGAAAGTGGGTGGATGAACTGCCAAGTGTACTCTGGGCATATCAGACTACGTTGAGAAGATCAACTGGGGAATCCCCATTTGCCATGGCTTATGGCACAGAAGCAGTCATTCCTCTAGAGCTCGGCATCCCAAGGATCAGAACCTAGGGAGTAGAGAATAGAACTAATGATGTATTTATAGCCCAAGATCTAGATCTGCTAGAAGAGAGAAGGGAAAAAGCAGCAATTCAGTTGGGGGCATACCAGCAGCAGCTTGCCAGGGCTTATAATAAGAAGGTAGGCCCACGAGAGTTCCAAGTTGGTGACCTCGTCCTAAGAAAGGTTGTCGGCAACAAGAAGGATCCCAGAGAGGGCAAGCTTCGCTCAAACTAGGAGGGACCCTATAGAATCATCTTAGTCTTGGGCAATGGGGCATATCGGCTAGAGGACTGTGAAGGCAAAGAATTGCCAAGACCTTGGAATACTTGCAATCTAAAGTTTTTCTACCACTAGATTTTCTTGTTTTCTAAGATTTCTTTTTATCTTGTTATTAGCAGAAGTAATAAAGTTTTAACTTGATCTTTGAACTTGTCTAATGTGATTGACCGGATACTTGACGATGTTTCTAAGTGAAACATGACGAATAACTTAGACTTATTATATGGTAGAGTAGAACTTTTACTTGCATATAATAGAGTTGAACTAAGTTGACGATGTTTCTAAACGAAACATAACGAATAACTTAGACTTATTATATGGCAGAGTAGAACTTTTACTTGCATATAATAGAGTTGAACTAAGTTGGCGATGTTTCTAAGTGGAACATGACGAATAACTTAGACTTATTATATGGCAGAGTAAAACTTTTACTTGCATATAATAGAGTTGAACTAAGTTGGGATGACCTGGGCTGGTCAAACTGACAGAATCAAACTCAGATTGGAACTAAGTACGTATCAGTCAGATTAACAAAAAGGCCGAGGTTAGTTACCTCGGCCAGTCTTTATCTGAATTTGACCTCTGCAACAAGGTCAAAGCCCCAGTCTTAAATGAGAACACAAGTGGAACTTAGGTTCACATTAGGGGGCAGAGGGCTAGGGCTGGAAATTGATGCTTGGAAGATTGGTTTAACACTTGTTGAAACCTGAGTTTACAAATTGAAGTTAAACCAATGTCATGTTTAACACTTGTTGAAATTTAAGTTTACAAGTTGAAGTTAAACCGAGGTCATGTTTAACACTTGTTAAAACTTGAGTTTATAAGTTGAAGTTAAACTAAGGTCATGTTTAACACTTGTTGAAATTTAAATTTACAAGTTGAAGTTAAACCGAGGTCATGTTTTACACTTGTTGAAACTTGAGTTTACAAGTTGAAGTTAAACTAAGGTTGAAGTTACAAGTTGAAGTTAAACCAAGGTTATAACTAAAAGAAAATTGGTCTAAACACTTGTTGAAATTTTTTAGAAAAATTTACAAGTTAAGACCAAAGTTGTATTAAAAGAAGTATTTGTGTACTTGCCAAGGTAAACCATTGGTTTGTATAACCAAGGTATATCACCCCGAGGAAATTGCACAAATAAGGTGTATGCTTGAAAGCATGCAAAATTATTCTAAGTACAGAATCATACAAGAGTCATACAAAGGAAATTGTACTTGCATTCAGAAGAATCAGTTCAAAAAGAAGAGGGCACTTCGGCCTACCAAAAGAGTAGCTGTTTAGAAATTACAAAAGTGGCACTTCGGCTAGATCCAAGCTTACATTGATTCAAAAAGTAAGACAAAGTACTAAGTACAAAGCAAAAAACCAAGACTATTGGGCATCAGCAGTAGGATGGGGCTCTGAAGACATTTGAGAATTATTCTCGGCGTCCTTCTTGGCAGAAAGCTCGGCATCGATCTCTTTGAGAGTCTGGTCGATGCTCTTGTCGGCAATGGACACGTCCGATGTTGTCTTCTCAGGAGTGTCATTTTTGGGGACCTCACCCTCCTCGTCCTGAGTCAAGTTTAGGACTTGCTCATTTGGAGTAGGGGACTTGAACCTAGCAGCTTCCTTCGATTTCCTCACCAAAGCTTCCACTTCAGACTCAGAATCGTCTTCAAATTGGCTTGGAGTAGGGGGGAATGGAAATGGGAGGATGTCGGCATTCTTGAGGGGGGAGTCCTCAGGGACATCAAGCTTTTTGAGGGCAACCATCCAACCAAGGGTGAAACCTTTGTTTCATGCCTGCTTCACTTGCTTTTTGTAGTCCTCCTTGACGTCGGCCGCCCCCTCAGCATACGCCCTCTCATCAGCGGCCTTGATCTCGGCCTCTTTTATGGCCAAAGCATCCTGAAGTTCTTTTTGGGCCTCGACCATCTTTTTTTCGGCCTCTTTCTTTTGGGCCTCAAGGACCTTGGCAATGGCCTCGGCAGCATCAGCTTTCTCTTCGGCCTTATCTTTAGCCTTGATGGCTGCCTCGGCCTGATCTGACAAGGTCTTTATCTTTCCCTTGGTCTTTTTGAGGGTCTTCTGCAAATTAGAGACCTCCCTGGTCTTGTCGGCTAACTCCTTCCTCATTTCAAAAGATTACATTGAGAAGGAGTGGGTGTGCTGGATCGCTTGAAGAAAAATGGACAGAGCAGAAGTTATTAGAAAAATCTCTAGGTATAAAAAGAAAAAGAAAGAAAAGTACCAAGTGTAAAGAACTTACTTGAACGGAATGCTGCAGCATTAGAGCAAAATTTTCGTATTCGCTCATCCTACCTTTACGATTAAGATCTTCGAGCAGAAGCAAGGCGGCGGAGAGGGCAACGCCGACCTCAATGTCGTTGGCGCTATCACCAGCCTTAACTGGCTTGTCGTCGATTGTGATTGGCGGGGCCCAGGGGGAATCATATTTTAATGGCCCCAAGGTGGTCACAGAGGACGACCTCAGCCTCTTTGATCTAGTAGATTCGGATGGTTGGGCCTTGGCGGGCCTCTTCTTGGCAGCAGAAGGGGTCTTCTCACTCTCAGCCAATTTTGAAATTGGCAAGGTGTCCTCAGTATCAATCTGAGTCACTGTTGCCTTAGGCTGAGCCTTCTTAAGTCTTTTTGGCTTTTGCTTTGGTTGAGGCTGGGTTTGTGCTGGTTGAGCGTTAACTGAATCAGGGATGTCGGCTAGAAGATCTTCATTGACAGCTTTCTTGCGACCCATCTCGGCGACAATTGCAGTCCTACGGCGGCGTTGGCATTGAGATGATGGGATCAGATATGGAGCCGAGGTTGACGGTTGCTCTGCTGGATCAGAGGTTGATCATTGATCTGGCCTAGATGATGAGGCTGTTGGAGGAGTTGTGGTGGAAGGGTAAGAATTGCTTTTCTTCCTCTTTGGGATGTCGGGAAACACCGACTTGTAGGTCGGGATGAAGTTCAGAAGCAAGGGAGCTCTCCGCTTGTGAACTGTCAGATCTAGTAGCTTCTTCAAGTCCTTGCTGGTGAAGAAGGACTTGCGAAAGCCCTTTGATGGTTATAGAAGAACTGCAAAAAGAAGAGCACAGACGTCAGAACAAAGTATTGAAAACTTGAAAAAAAGGCAAGGAAAGGTGACACTTGGTTCTTACCATCTCTTTCCCTGAAAACTGTTCGGCTTAGGGGATAAAGGTGGAGGTCATCGTTTGGTTGAAATTTCCAGTTGCCCGAGACGATGAAGTAATCATCTCCAACACCCTTGTTTGAGTTTGGGAGGTCGGCAATAAGCTTGTACTCCGTGGACCTCGGCTTGAGGTAATAGATGTGGCCTTTTTCCAATTTTAGGCGACACATGATGTAGCAGCACTGGATGTCGGCAAGGGTAACCCTAGTATTTTCTTTCTTGGCTAAGGTGATTATACCATTGATAACTCGATAAGAGTTGATGGCAAGTTGCATTGGGTTCAATTTGTAGTAGTGGAGGACTTCTCAGAAAAGGGTGTCAAGTGGAAACCTAAGTCCACACTCAATAAAGGCCACTACTGGGAAAGGCATGAGGTCCACGTCGGGCATAATGGAATCCTCCTCCCTTGCCAACCTGAGGTGGACATCGGCAGGAATGGAAAACTCCTGCCTAAAGTACTCTAACTTAGTTGGGGTGTCCACTCTATGCTTCCACATACCCATGACGTCGGCTTAATTAGAGGAGTTGGATTTCAAAAGGAAGTGTTTTGGAAAGGTTTAAGGGACCTCGGCTAAAACCTAAAAATGTACTATGGTAAGAGTTTGTATGGATCTAAAAAGAATTCTTGTCAGTTTTTCCTAAGGTTCATAAGTTCTATAGACAAATCCCAATCCTAAGTCTAGGCAAGTGAAGATTGAAGGCAAGAATCTGGAAAAAAAAAAAAAAAAAAATGGCAAACAGAAACAGGAACGTGATTCAGAATCAAGAACAGTGACAAAGTCGTCAAGAACACTAACAAAGTTTGTGCAGGTGTGTGAGGCCAAGAACAGTGGCAAAGATCAACAGATATGTAAGCAGTGTGTGAGTAATCAAGAGTGGATTGGGCCAAAAATAAAATCACGATGTAAATATGCCCAAATGCATGATTGAGTTCACATACACAGATTTGTAAAAAATATATACGAAGCCACAGTAACAGAGCACGAATGTAACAGAATTCAAAGAGAACCAAGAACTAGGAACCATGATGAAAACAGTGGCTTACCAGAAGAGTGAAGCCGGTGTTGAAGACGCCGGAGTCAGGAGGTGGTTACAATCAGAAAAGGACAGCGAAAGTTTTCACCGAAAGAGAGGAATAAAAGTGGTTACAGATCTTGAAGATCTGGAACAATGGCAGATTTAGAGAGAAAAGTTAAAGAGAGAAAAAGTTGGGAGCTTGAGAACGAGGATGCAAAAGTGAAGAGACAGAGAGAGAAAATTGATTTTAATCAAACATGGAGAATGGCGGCAAAATACCATCAATGCGTCTAGGGCGACGTGCTTGTCAGACGACGCACCCAGACACAAGGCGACTTACAGGCGCGTATCAGGTACAACCCAGAAGGAGAAAAACACGTGGCAAGAACGGTTGAGTTGTTATGTGTGACAGCTCATACGCGTAAAGGAGCTCTTGGAGTTCTTGATTTAATGGAGCAATACCTCGGCTTGAAGGATGATCTCAGCTGAGCAACTTGAATGAACCTGGTTAATGGTTCTAAGACATTGGTGAAAGCAGGCTATAGGTCTTGGACATATTGAGCCCACAAGTTATGACTTCGGCAATAAATGTTGAAATGAGCTTAACCGACATGCAAGATGGAAGAAATGATATAGGTTCCATCACCTCAGCATGCCGAGGTAATAGAACCTAGGGGGCAGTTGTGGGGACATAATTTTTGAGTGACAACACATGGCCGAGGTGGCACCGAAGTGTCAGCCGAGGTGCCACGTGTCCTGGACATGACGCCGAGGTTATCTCGGCTAGACCGAGGTTATCTACAAGAATACCAGAATCTAGGATAAGTGGATAAGGGACAAGAGTCCTAAAATGAGAGAAGACTTCAGTTTGGGTAAAGATAAGACTCTTAGAGAATTTATCCCAATCCTGTTGGGAGTCTAAGATTAGCAGTAATCCTAAGTCCACTAGAGCTAAGCTTGTATTGGGACTAGGATTGTGTTGGCTGTAAAAGAGAGGCACCCCCATGGGTCTAAAGTATGCTTTTTGTATTCTGAATAAGTGAATTAAGCACTTTTGCTATCTTTGAGAGATAACTAACTTGATCATCGGAGTGCCCCCGGGTGGACGAACCACCGCTGAAATCTCTTATTTCTGTTGCAGGTCATTCAAGCGCCATCTATTCTACCAGTGCTCTCCAGTTGAATACTAAGTAGGCAATGTGGTTAGAAATTCACTCACACACCTACTTAATCCATATTGTATTTTTTATTGATCAAGAGTACGACGTAGGTAATATTTAAAAGGGCACTCGGTTCATAAATCCAATTTTGAATTTTGTTTGTCTAAGGTCCACACTCTAAAATACTTTGTCCATAAAGACAAGCTACCACAAAATAACCAAACTACCCATGTATATATATATATATATATTTAAGAGTGGGCAATGATTTATTGGACCCGCACAACCTGCCCAAATCGACCATACGTGCATGCATAAATAGGGCAGGTGTGGGTCTATTTTTAAATTCAAAATCAAATTCAGGTCAGATCCGACCCTGCCCGTGCAAATCCACAATCCGCCCGCAGATTATGTTTAAAAAAAAAAAAAATCCCACTCATGTTGAACTAAACAAATCTTCATTCTTTTGGTCCACCTCTATCTCTCTACCCATCTCTCTCTCTCTCTCTCTCTCTCTCTCTCATCTCGCCTACCTCTCTCTTCTCCTCCCTATCGCCGTCACCACCACCTTTCACCCCTTGCTCGTTGTCTCTTTCATCTCCTCCCCGTCACCATCTCTCTCATCTCCTCCCCGTCGCAGATCAGCCCCTACTCTAGCGCCACTCCATTATCTCTCATACATCAATCCAACCATGTCGTTGGTTGCTTGCCGTTGTCCCCTCCTCTTCTCCCTGTCGTCGTCGCCCAATCGCAAACCAGATATGGAGATGCTAGATCTAGAAAATGTAGAAACTGGAAAAAAAAAAGTTTGTTTCATTGCACAAAGGTATGAATCCTAGATCTGGAATCCTCCATTTTCATTTATTTATGGTTTGCTAGTTGTGTTATGGGTATGTGTAGACGTCCCAGAATGTCCTGGGGGGAATCCCCCGTTTTGTTCATTGGGCTCACTACAGTTCGGACTCAATGTTGTCATGGTTCTTAATCTGATCTCACAATGTGCAATGTGAGATTGATAAATCACCAAAGAGTCCAAATCCGGCAAATCGTTTTAGAAAACAAATTTTTGTAAAGAAGTGCCAAACATGGACTGCTTTGCCAGATACAAAGTCGCTACCTAAATATTTATTTTGGGGGAATTTAGGAAACCCTGACTAGTTTGCCTAAGGCCACGTGTCCGTCATCACCAAAGTTGCCTCGGCTTGGGAACTTGGGTACAATTGGGGAAGGTAAGCTATGAGCACCCCCGCTCGTCTGATCCTAAGATCGGCCTCTACTAACCATGATATCGAGTTTTGAAAACATTACGCATTCTTATTCCGGTTATTAGCCTAGAATTACTATGTGATGCGCACAGCATAAAAGTATAGACTAGATCGCCTAATTTGGAACAAAGCATCGCATATCCGTTTGGTTGAAAAACAATTTGAAATTTGCTACTCACAAGTAGGCTAAAACACGGATTTCAATGAGTTATTCCAACTCAAACAATCCGACCTTCACCCACAGGCATTCAGGCAGTTTATATCACATAAACATATAGCCGTATGGTAAGCGTGCTGCCATGGCAGTCACTCACACGCATGCAAGGTTGCTAAAGCATAAACACTTATCAAGTACTCCAAGCCAAAACAGAAACTTGTTAGTAATCATATGTATGATCCTAGTTCATGTTAAGATGGCTAATGCAACACATGCAAGATGCAACTACAATAGGCTCGGCTATTCTAAGATGGCATATGATTATGCTACAGCTAACACGTATTCAACTCGGAATTGAAATACTATGCAGTTAGTATGATGCGCCGAGCCCGGTGCATGTAAGACAAATGTATGGATGCACGCATGCATAGCATAAGGTATGCTAATTTAAATATGCCCTAATACTAACCATTGAAAGCAGGTAAGTAAAAGGGAGAAAAAAGTGGGGGTTGGAAGACATACACACACTCACAAACACTTATTACACAATTGCCCTCGCTCGGAGGGTCCGAAAGAATAATACAGGCCGAATAATGAACCAAGTATCCTAGCTAATTAATTATTACAAAACTTCTAATTAATTAACAAATTAATTACAAAAAAAGGCCTAAATATGAAACTAAAGAGACCGCTGCAACTTTGCCTCGGAATGCGTGGATGATGCATGCTTGACTCGCCTTGCTCAGAAACCCGGTACCATGCCACTGTTGCCTCTGTTTACACTGCCTTACTCCTCTGAAAAGTATGAAAGTTTCCAGGACCCTTCTGAATAACTCCCTGAGTGTTGTGGGGTGCCACCGGCCGTGATAGAGCATTACCGGCTATGAGAATGTGGCCATCGGCCAAAAATTGAACCACCGGCTGGACTTTGGTAGTCAGTCGGCACTGTAAGTGGTCGGCCGG